GGAACGTAGAGCCCGCACAAGGCATCTTCGGCTACAACTCAAAGATGATTCTGTGCTACTGGCAGGCATCCAGGAGACATCACATCCTGCTGGTAAGTTCGAGTCCGATGGCTTCCTGGTGGTCAACTCAGGCTCGGACTCCAAATGGCTTGGGTGCACACTTTTGGTCAACCTTGAACTTGGTTATGCACGAGGGAAGAAGGGACCACTCAAGTTGGTGACCAAGCACGTCCATGTTATACATGCAGTGGAAAGATTTCTTCTTGTTCAGATACATGCGCCCATGATGGTGCACACAGTCGCAGTTATTCATGCTCCACATCACAAACGCGGGACCATGGACCCTCCTCAGCATGTTCGCAAATGGTGGCAAGACGTACGAGCTACCTTGGACCAGCACCCACCGACTATTATCATGGCAGATGCGAACGCTCGCATGGGCAGCGAGGTCACAGAGGTGTCAGGAAGCGTCGGGCCAACTGATTCACTAGACTTCAACGGATTTGAGCTCCAGAAGATTTCCAATGAGTACAGCATGAAGATCACGAACACGTTCATCCCTCACGAGCATCCTGAAACTTTTCGAGCGAAGTGTGGGACACTACATCGACTGGGCTACATCTTGTTGCAGGACAGCATCCATGACTGCGCGAAGACCTGCTACGTTATGACCGACTTGGATTTTGGTGGCAAATCCCCTGATCACTGGCCAGTTGTTGTCACCATAGAGGCTGCAAAATATTACTCAACACCTGAAGCTGGGAGAAACAGGCTCGACAGGCAGAAATTAGCGGATCCTATCAGGCAAGACAAATTCCGACAAGCTCTCCTAGAGATGCCAGTGGCGCCGTGGACTATGGACATCAATCAGCAGGTCGACGACTTCAATTGCAAGATCAACCAGCTCACAGCTGAGTTGTTTGCCGAGGACCGCTTCTCTCCTAGGAAGCCCTACATCAAGACAGGCACTATGTCGCTTATCAGACTACGCAGGTACATAAGGCGTGCACAGCAGGCGGTCTTTAGACATTCGTGGGAACCTATCTTTCTATTGGCCAGGCTCCTGCCAAGGCAATTGGACACATTCGTATACGCAAGTCGGGGCCTTGATGAGTCCTCCCAGTGTCCCTGGGAAGGCCCTATGCGCCAGCTTGCCATGGCGTGTGACTTATTCCAGGCCGAGGAGTTCACGATTGAAGAAATGCTCGCTGCTGCTCGGTGCTTCATGGATACAACTGCTCGTACACTTACATGGTGCCTGAACAGAGACAGGACAGATTTTCTTACGCAGACCGCCAAGAAGATTGGCGAACTGGCAATACTACACGACGGGCACCATGAATGGGCGGTTCAATGGCAAGCAGGCAAAGCGATGTGACCACAATCTCCTTCCTCAGCGATTCAAGCAAGACGGTTCTGTCATCACCTCCGAGCTGGAGTGGGCCGAGGCCTTGAGGCGACACCCCAACTTGAGGACGGATACGAGTGTACTGCATCGGCGCTGCAAACTGAGTACAATCAGCTAACTTTGAATCATGCTCTTGGTTTCCCACGGTCTATCTCAGCGATTCCGTCTCCGACATGGCTTGCCACCAGATTACGGGGGGTCAAAGCCCACCGCGCACCTGGCCATGATTTAGTTCAGAACGCTGTCCTCAAAGCTGCGCCTGAGGCTGTTCTGCCGCATGTTCTGGCGATCGCAGCTAAGACTGGGCTTCTGGCGCAGGAGGCGGCCACGCACAAAGCAGGACTTGCTTGCGGACTCCACAAGGGCAAGAGCGGCAGGATGACTGCTGAGATGTACCGCTCGATCATGCTGAACTCGGACGTTATCAAGCATCACCACGCGTTCCTTCGAGCAGCCATGACGGACTGCATCAAGATACTCATGGTGGACTCGCAGACTGGGGGTATCAAGGGCCGTTGTGCTGGTATGGCTTCTCAGATGGTGAGAGTTTTCAGACACATTGCCAAGGCCAGGAAGTTTATTGCGATAGTATTGTTCGTGGATTTGGTGGCCGCCTTCTACTCGCTGTTGCGTCAAGCTGGGATCCCGCTCAAGGGAACCGAGAACTACATCAATCAAGTCCTAGACAATGCACCTGCGCTGGCACACCCGCTGCTGGAAGTTGTTCTAGCGGCGCCAGTGTTGGTCGACTCCAGGGTTGACCAGCATCTGGTGGCGGAAGTGATTGAGGCCCATCGGCTCACCCACTTCAGGGTGCCAGGGGATACGCAGTGGATTGTCTCACAAAGGAGCTCTCGGGCTGGCAGCCCCCTAGCCGACTTCTTCTTCAATGTCGTGTATGCCCGACCACTGAGAGGAATTAAATTTGATATGCAGCAGGCTGGTATTGCTATGGACCTCAAGGATTGCATCGATGCATCCGAGCCGGTATTTTCTCAAGGCCTCACAGTGGAGAACGACACGTTCACGGACTCCACCTTCGTCGATGATTCTGGTGTTTGCTCCCCATGTTATGACCCCACAGCAGTACGTGATCAAGTATCGTTGCTCGGCAGGATCGTGAGGAAGCACATGATGGGATCAGGTTTTCAACTTCACTTCGGGAAGGGCAAGACGGCCGCGGTTATTTCCTACAATGGCGAGGGCTCCCTGCACGCGAAGAGGACCATGGCCAGGTTCTCAGCCATTGCGTTAGATAGCACATCGAACGATCGTATTGTCCTTGAGCAGACTTACAAGCATGTAGGTGGCATCTACACTGGCGACGGGAGCACAGCACAGGAGGTATCTAGGAGGAAGAACAAGCACTCTACGGCACTGAGGCCCCTGAGGGCATCGGTTATCAAGTACGAGATTGCCACAACGGACAAGCTCAAGTACATCGACGCGCTGTGCAGCACGCATTTGTTCTTTCAGGCGGAGACATGGGACAAGATTTCGGCATCGTGCACGACCAAGTTGAACCATGCGTTGCTATCTGGGTACCGAGTGGGCACCAGGAAATTGCACAGCCTGCTCACTGTCGGGCGCACCACAGATTCGGAAGTATTAGTTATCGCCAACAGGATAGAGTTTTGTGATGTTTTGCGCTTCCGACGGCTACGCTACGTGGCTCGGCTGGTGCACCCAGGATCTCCTACATTGCGGCTGATCTTGGATGCAACGCTGGGTACCTCATCGTCATGGGCATCACTTGTAGTGGAGGATTTTCTGTGGCTCAAAAGGTTTTGTCATGATGCTCCAGACGACTGCCCCAGGAATATTCCAGGCATTGCTTCATGGATGAGATATGTTGCGAAAGATCTGAGAGGATTTCATAGGCACTTGCGCAGTGCCTGGACGAGCTTTTCTGCGCAGCGAATGGATCAGCACAGGGACTCCTTCATCTTGCGTAAGATTCTGTTGGTATATCCTGGGCTGATCCCAAGAGCTGATGACGGACATTCAGGAACAAGTTACTTCTGCTATGAGTGCGATCAGGTTTTCCAAACTGTTGCTGGGTATCGAAGTCACTGGACTCGTGTGCACCAGCCAAACGACATGGCGCAGTACTTTGCTGACGGTGTTGATTGCCTATGCTGTGGCGCCAGCTTCTCGGATCGATCAGGTTTGCTAAGGCATCTCAGGCGCCCGACTGGAGCATGTCTTGGCCACATTATGGCATCCACCGATCCTTTGGACGACGAGGCGGTTGCAGCATGGCAGCGTCTGGACCAGCAGTCGGCTGTGGACAAACGCACGCGTGGGCTTCGGGCGACTGCGCCAACACGACCAGCATTACCTGGCAAGAGGCAGGCTGCTGTGGTTGACGAGCGCCCGATGCCCCCGTGTGTGGAGTGGGTCCCAGCCCCATCGCTGCCACCAGCACCGGCGGAGCGCGCCCATCGGCAAGCCTATGTGTTGCACATTGGCTGGGGACCCAGAGCTGACGACGACTTCAGTAGTATTATGGGTTGCGCCACTGTTTTTTTCAACTGTGCTGTGTTATATATTGATTGCAGTGAACCATCAATGACATTGAAGCTGGAGGATTCGACGTTTTTAGACAATATTACTGCAAGGATTCAGTCAGGTGCCATTCTGGGAGTTCTTGTGACACCGCCGACATCATCTTGGACAGCGACGTTGAATAGTATTGGCTCGCAGGGCTCGCCTGTGAGACCTCGACAACAACTGTGGGGAGCGGACCTCCTGAACAGGTTCTGGGTGAAGCAGCTGCGGAAGGAGAATGGTGCCATCAGAGCTGGTTTATTATTCTTGGCTGCTGCAGCGGCGGCAGGAGTAGCTGGAGTATTGGTGCACCATGCTTGCGTAGCTCATCGCGTGGCGTCGATCTGGCAGCTCGAGTCGGTGAAGGCGATCGCTGCTCTCCCAGAGGCCTCTGCAGTGACCTTTGATGTGGCCGACTTCGGGGGCGCGCTGTCTTCCTTCGGCCAGGCCCTGGCCGTGCACTGCCCGCACCTCTCGGGGGCCATGCGCCTGCGTGGCCTGGTGGCGAGGCCCGCAGCAGTGCTTGAGGTGGATAGCTGGGTTCTGCCTAGGCCCTTCCTCGAGTTGCTGGGCGAGGCTTTTCTGGAGGCGCAGCCAGCGCTGAGAGGTGCGGGGTCCATGCAGTGGCCGACGGATCCGTTTCTCGTCGCCATGCTCGTGCCCCCCGAGCGCTACCCAGAGGTACCATCGGACGAGGAGGCTGCATGGGAGCTGGTCGAGGGCACCCTCCTCTCGTGCGGTGCGCCTCCGCACCGCGAGGGAGGCCCATGAAGGTGCTTGGCTGGAGGGCTGCGGCCAGGCTGCGGCCATCTGGCGCGTGTAGCGCTGGCGAGGTCGCAGTCTCGGACATATCCATCGTGGGCGCCTGGCGGTGGGACCGCACATGTACTTCGAGTACGGGGAGCTGCAAGGAGAGGACTCCGCAGGGGACCGCCCCTCAGGGATGGGAGAAGAAGAAAGAAGGAGGCGGAGGAGGCGGAGGAGGCGGAGGAGGCGGAGGAGGCGGAGGAGGCGGATCCCGAGCGGAGGAGGGAGCCGCGGCCTTGCCAGGAGCCCCCGCCGCCGCCCGCCCGCGGCGCGCCCCCCAGCAGCGAGGAGCCGGCCAGGTCGTCGCCGAGCTCCGAGTACTCGCCTCGCCGGCGGCAGGGGGAGGCCCCTCGCGCTCGAGGAGGAGGGCGGGCGTGTCCTCCTGAAGGCGGATTTCTTGCCATCGCTCGGGCGTCCATTTTCCGTGCATTGTTCGGTGCGTGGGTTTTTCGCCAAGTGATCCAGGATGCTCCTCGATGGTCCTCGCCGAAGGAACAAATGCACACGTCCGACCGATGCCAGGATTTTGGAAGACAAATAACACATAGTCAAACAAATGCACCAAAAATGCTCGAAGGTAGCCGAAAAAGACGTCCCCAGGCTATTGTTAGGACTACCTTTTGATATTCCCCCTGTGCAGGGACATGCCCGACTCGATTCTAGGACAGAGGGCTTCGGATCCCTGAGATCCAGGCGTTCGAGGATCGAGTTGCATTGCCTGGATCCCTCGCGTTCGAGGCTCGAGTTGAGATCCTGGCTTTGCAATTCTTTCGCACTTCTCGCGCAAATCCGGGCCCTGGGACCACCACGGCTCGATCCGGCTCGAGACATGCATCAGAAAGGTTGGGTCCATAACATAACAAATACAACATACACATAAGCTTTTGGAGCTCCCTCCGCGCGGATTTCTTGCATCTGCGCTGGGGCCCTCTGGCGGCGCCTCCGGAGCCGTCCCTGGCGCGCTCCGCGCGACAGGGAGTATGGTCCAACAAAGATCCAAGCATTCCGCGCGGAGCTCAAAAAGTAGAGGCCTCCTAGATGGGGTCGGAGTAGATGGGGTCAGAAGATCGCGCCGCATCGCCGATGCATCGGCGCTACATCGCCGATGCATCGGCAATACATCGCCGATGCATCGGCAATACATCGGCGATGTCGGCGAGGCATCGGCGCCGTCGTCTTGGAGAAAGTCGGGCTCCACAACGAGTCAGCCGCATCGGCGATGCATCGGGGATGCGGCGCGCTCCTCCGACCCCGTCTACTTCGACCCCTTTTAGAAGGTCCAGGAACAAATTATGTCCATACCATGTTTTCCTGGGCTCTGGTCGATTCTTTCCACGTTGTCGTCACGTTTCCGCAACGTTGACTGCCTACCAGACCACCCCAACCTAACCCGAATACCCAAGTTTCGGGTTTGGGGGGGGGACGGGTTCCACACCTGCTTTTTCAATGTTCCCTGACACCCTACCCCCCCCGGCTGGAAATGGAGGGCAAACCTGGGCCTTCGAGTTGAGTTGGGGCGGTTTGGTGTGCGGTGATTGTCTGGGCTCTGGTCGATTCTTTCCACGACGTCGCCACGTGTTCGCCACGTTGGGGCCCCCAGGGGCCTCGCATCGAGGAGCCCAGGCCTCCGCTGCGCACGCTGGAATCCACACTGGGGGCTGCTTTCGGGCGCCCCGCGGGGCCGCCTGAGACGCGTCAGGGACGAAGCCCCTACAGCCGACTCGTTTCAGAAGGACGCGCAGTAAGGATACGTCGAGGCGTGTTCTGAGGAGGAGGAGGAGGAGGAGGAGGAGGAGGAGGAGGAGGAGGAGGAGAGGGAGGAGAGGAGAGGGAGGAGGAGGAGGAGGAGGAGGAGGAGGAGGAGGAGGCGGAGGAGGAGGAGGGATAGGAGGAGGAGGAGGAGGAGGGGAGGAGGAGGAGGAGGAGGAGGAGGAGGAGGAGAGGGGAGGAGGAGGAGAGGAGAGGAGGGGGAGGAGAATGAGGAGGAGGGGGAGGAGGAGGAAGGGAGGAGGAGAACCAGGAGGAGGAGGAGGACCAGGAGGATGGAAGGATAACAGAAACACCAACTCGCTGGAGGCCTGGGCTCCCCGCGCGCCCGCCGAGCCCCCCACGGCGCGGGGCCCTCGTGGGCGCCGCCCCCCGCGCGGCCGCTGCGCTCCCGCCCCTTCCCCCCTCGGGGGCGGCCTAGAGGGGGGCGTTCAAGAGGGGGCCCTGGGACACACAAATGAATACACAGAAATAACAGGGTTCCTCATATTTTCCTATGTTTTCTGGGTTTTCGTCTTCCCCCACTCTTCCCATAGTTTCCCATATTTTCTTTGGAATCGATGATTAGTTGTGTCTGTGTGTTTTTTTCCGCTCCTGAGTGCTAAGATCTCCGGTACCTGGTTAACAGTATTTCTAGTTCGCGCGCGCGGGGCGGCCCCTGGGGGTCCCCGGGCGAAAAGTACCCCGGCAAGGTCCCGGCAAGTCCCCGGCAAGTCCCTGGCAAGGTCGGGTCAGAGATGCCGGAGTTCTGTTTCGGAGTCCAAGAGGGCTCGAGATCGGTCCAAGATGGCCCCGAGAAGCTTTCTAGACGGTCCAAGGGAGGCCCGAGACGGCCAAAGAGCGCCCGAAGACGCCCCAGATGGCCCCAAGACAGCCCAAGAGGCCTCCAAGACGCTCCAAGGGCCTCCCAAGAGGCCTCCGAAGAGGGCCCCAAGTTGCCAAAATCGTTGATTTTCATTTGTTTTTTCTATGTTTTTTTGCGTTCTGGCCTTTTCGCTTCCGGACGCTCCAAGAGGGCCCAAGAGGCCTTCAAGACTGCTCCAAGACGGCCCACGAGGCTCCCAAGACGGCCCCGGAGCGGCCCAAGAGCGCCCCCCAGACGGCCCAAGTGCTGCCCAAGGCGGACCAAGAGGCCCCAAGACGGGCCCAAGAGGGGCTCAAGAAGGGAACCGAGAACTGAAAAATCGAGCCCTCCGCCCCAGAAGGCGCCCAGGACCCCGAAAGAGGCCCCAAGAGACTCTCCAAGACACCCCCAAGACGCCCCAATAAGCTCCCGTGAGGCCCCAAGAGGACCAACAACGTCAGGCCCCAGGCCCCAAGAGGACCAACAAATACCGCCAAGAGCCCGCCGAAAGCCCCCCAAGAGACCGTCACGAGAGCTCAGGAGGCCCCCTGGAGGCCTCCCGAGTTCTCCAAGAGGCCTAAAAAGATGCGCCAAGAGGCCCCAAACGGCCCCACCGAGGCTCCAAGAGGCCACGAACGCGCAAACAAACGCCTGCGATGGCACAATACGGGCCGGCGGAATGAGCGAAGCGATCAAATAACAGGGTTCCGCATATTTTCCCATGTTTTCTGGGTTTTCGTCTTCCCCCACTCTTCCCATAGTTTCCCATATTTTCTTTGGAATCGATGATTAGTTGTGTCTGTGTGTTTTTTCCGCTCCTGAGTCCAAGAGGGGGGGGGTGCAAGTCATGGCCGGCGGCACGTGCGCGGCCCAAGGGAGTGGCCAGGGGCGTCGTGAAATGAGAGGAGGCGCCGTGAAAGCTAGAAGAAGATCATGGCCCACGCCACGATGTCCACACACCCCTAGTCGTCACCCCCCTCTTTCCCTCCCCCGACCCCCTGGAGGCCAATGTTCACGTTTTGCGAACGAGGCTGGCCAGCGAGAGTGGCTACCGGTGGGCCGATGGGGGCAAGGATACCAGGAACAAAAAACTTACCCTGGGGAAGGTTGGCCAAATCTTGCCGTGCGCTTCGACTGTGCACGGGAACTGGTCCGTCGGTCTGAGGACCCGGTGTTGCAAAGACGAATGGCATCGAAAGTCTGTTTGGACGCGCTGAATGCGGGCGAAAAAAAAGGAGTAAGGTTGTCCAAATTCGACAGCGGCCGCTGTTGGCCAGGCGAGCTTGCGTCTTTCGAATGAACAGCAAGCCAACAACCGCCGCAACGCCGACAGCGAATCCCACGGCCGCACTAACGGCGACGTTGATGAACAGCGATGTTGGGAATCCGACTTTTGTGACACCGAGCTCGCGCAGAACAAATTGTAGGAAATCACGAACCACACTTTCCTACACTTCAAATGTGCAAATGCATCGGGCGAAAACGAGGAAGCGAATTGTAGGAAAGCACGGTCCGCGATGTCCTACAATCGGTTTGGCCACGAGGCACTCCTACCTACAATGCCGAAACCTACATCGCCGTTACCTACACCGCCATTAGCGCGCCTGCGGGAATCCTGCTCAGAGACACCCCCCCCGCGATTCTGGGATCGGCGGTCGAGGTTTCCAGGGATAACGACACGGGGAGGGGGTCGGCTCAGGTTAGGTCGGGCATGTCCCCCTACAGGCGAATTTTTGGGGGAAAAATTGAAAAAAAACAAAAAATCTGAGGTCGGGGGGGGGAGATCGCAGTGGAACGGAGACCCGAACCAGGAAATCGTTTCGTTTCGTTCGTGTCGTGCGTGCGGGCGAGGCGAAGCTGCGTGGGCGCGCGAGACGAATGCATCCGCCGTCGCTAGGGCGAAATCAAAACACATGATTCTCCCCCGCCCGCCCGTCCGGCGGTGGCCCTCGGTGTCCCGTGGTGTCCAGTGGTGTCCGCCGTTGCTAGGGCGAAATGAAATCAAAACAAATGAGTCTCTCCCCCGCCCGCCCGTCTGGCGGTGGCTCGCGGTGTCCCGCGGTGTCCCGTGGTGTCCCGTGATGTCCCGTGGTGTCCGCCGTTGCTATGGCGAAATCAAGACAAATTATTCTCCCACGCCCTCCCGTCCGTCCGTCCGTCAGGCGGTGGCTCGCGGTGTCCCGCGGTGTCCCGCGGTGTCCCGTGGTGCCTCGTGGTGTCCCGTGGTGTCCCGTTGACTGAGATCGATAGTGAGATCGATAGTGAGATCGACAGGTGTCCCGTGGTGTCCCGTTCAAAGAGTTAGATAATGAGATCGATACTGAGATCGATGTGGTGCCCCGAAGTTTCCCCTGGTGTCCCGTGGTGCCGCAAAAAAATAGATCAGTAATGAGATCAATAGTGAGATCGACAGGTGTTCCGTGGTGTCCCGTGGTGTCCCGTTGAGTGAGATCGATAGTCAGATCGATGTGGTGTCCCGAGGTGTCCCGTTGAGTGAGATCGATCGTGAGATCGACGGTGAGACCGATAATGAGATCGAGAGGTGTCCCGCAGGGTACCGTGGTGTCCCGTGGTGTCCCGTTGAGTGCGATCGATAGTGAGATCAACAAGTGTCCCTGTGTGTCCCGTGTTATCTCGTTGAGTGAGATCGATAGTGAGATCGATTGAGTCAGATGTTGGTTCCCTCCCCCCTCCCCCCAACCTCCGTATCACCC